CAAGCTGGAGCATACGAGGTTCAATCTGAACATGAGGAAAAACTCCTTTCCTGTGAGGGTGCCAGAGCATGGCCCAGGCTGCCCAGAGAGGTTGTGGAGTCTCCTTCTCTGGAGACATTCAAAACCCCTGGCCGTGTTCCTGCGTGACCTCCTCTGGGTGATCCTGCTCTGGCAGGGGTTGGACTGGGTGATCTCCAGAGGGCCCTGCCAACTCCTCATATTCTGTGATTGTGTTCAGCATTGTCCCCAAACCCATGCTTATATGTCCTCTCCTGCTGTTATGTGTAGGGTAAGGAAAATGTTATTCTTGAGGGTGAATGATTGTTCCCTCTTGTGGAAAACAGGAGAGGAGCAAGAGTCAACAAAAGAGAAATGTTTAATACAGGCAGATGTTTCGCAGGTCTGAAACCACAAGCCACAGGGACGTGTTTGGTGGTATTTATAAAATTAAATACTTAGTGAGCTGGAATGGGTTTACGCATATCGCTTAAACTTAAGTAAACATGCAAAGGCTTCTCCAAATGAGAGCCTAAAATGGGATTAAAAAGCAACTGACCTGAAGGACTTTACCCTGTGGACTTTCATCAAAAACCAGCGTCTGTTGGTACAAAGGATCAAGGGTCTTCCGTGCAATTCTTGTCTTCTTCTTAGCTATACATGCTCCATTTTCCAATAAATACACTTTGACATACGGAGCTGCAAACAGAACATCATTAATTTTATGTTTGGACTTCAAAACGTCTGCATCGCACATCTGAGCTGGGGGGCAAATGCCTTACAAGGAAGCCGAGTAGAAAGAAAATAACACACACCATCTGTCTTCACTGTATAATCTGAATACAATGATATTCGTAAAACAAATGACACAGACCATAAGAAATCAATTTGATTTTTATAAACTTTGGATGTAATGATCTAAGAGGTTACTAACAGCAGCTCCATTTCATGCCTGTCATTTTAAAAGCACTTTCTTCTGCCAGAAATTAACTATCACTGATAGCTACTCTGGAGTCTCTACATATGTCTAAGGGTCTGAGATATTTCAAAAGAAGATACTTTGATGTCTCATTGAAAGGAATATTTAAAACTAAGTCACTCAGATAACACAGACATTAGTTGGTCTTTTGTCTTCAGCTCCTAAGACAGTTTTAAAGCACCATTTTAGCAAAATGTTATCCAAAATTACTGTTCTAGTTGTTATGGTAGACAGTGGTTGTGGTAGTGATTATAAATATCTTCTAATAAAGATTTCTGTAAATAACCAGAACTTTAGAAAATGTCTTTATAAAATGATAAATATTAAATCTCATTCAAATTATTGACACTGGCACTACCATAGCCTGCTGCCTTCTTGAAGCACTCTTGCCTACAGAAGATCCTGGCACGTGGATCTGATAATCTGTTTCTTCAAAGCACCTTTATCTGTTCTCCATCTCTGGTTTTGATGTGGAACCAACACAAAGGACTTCATCTGCATCGACAAAGCCTCTCTGAGATACATGATCTGGCTAAGATACACAGAAATACTATGAAATACTTCTGCAAAGGTTCCTTCCAGAAGGGACGCTGAGTTGCTGGAAATCAACTGGCAGAGGCAAAGTAGTAGGAAGTGGACATTGGTAGGTGAGGATTTATCCACAGACACATTCCTTGTTGAAAAGCAAACCAAACATGGAGTGACAGCTGACCGGGAGCTCAAAAAGTCCAATCCCCCCTTCATCAGTGGATTTAATATCTTTGTTTTCTGTTAATATATATTTTTTCCTTACCTGGGGTAGATTTGGAGCCAGGTTTTTGTGTGAGGCCACGGGCTCGAATGACTTCTACCTCTAACTGGCCCTTTTTATCCACCATTCCAATCTGGATGTCACCTGAGAGGGAGAAGAAAGAAACCCACATTTTAGGGAAGCAGCACAGCCTGGGAGATACGGTGCAAGAGTGAGAAACATGACCGAGCATTGGAACAGGCTGTCCAGAGAGGTTGTGGAGTCTCCTTCTCTGGAGATGTTCAAAACCCCACGATATGTTCCTGTGTGACCTCCTCTGGGTGATCCTGCTCTGGCAGGGGTTGGACTGGGTGATATCCAAAGGGCCATTCCAACTCCTAATATTCTGTGATTCTGTGAGTAATTTGCAGCTATATTAGTGTGCTTGTCACCTCTCCTCCTGATCCCTTGAATTTCTCCATCGTTAAACCAGGCGTAGGAGATACTGAGGGAGCACGGTGCCCTCTCTTGGTGTTCCCTTTACACTGAAGCTCAGTGTTTCTTTTCCACAGAGGCAGGCAAATTTATAGCAATGCTATGGTATCACCACTACCACACCTTTAAATTTTGCACAGGTGAATTATCTAGAGACGTCCTACTGCTGCCCTAGCCGTGGTCCCCCATTCAGAGAGCCGAAAACTCATACTCATGTTCAGAAATCCCCTTGCCTGGAAGAAGCCTCCAAGCTGGGAAGCAAGAGCCAGCAGAGCAAAGGCTCCTTGTCTGATGCAGAAGGAGAACCGATGGCAGAGGTTGACTTTGACACCCTCTGTAATGACAATTTTGTGACTGGATCCTCAGTATAGGGGAGAGACACCAACCAGAGGGCCATAGCACGGCTTCAGAGAACGATGCCCTCCCCTCCAGGAGCTCAAAAAAGGACTATTTCTCTGTTTTTGTCAATATTCCAGGCCTATTTTTGGTGTGAGTAAAACGATGCAACATGTTAAAATAAGAAGCTACTTTTGCTACTAAATTGTCAAAATTGTTTTCCTGCCCGAGTTCTGTTAAATGACATTTCCTGCAGAAAAAGGAAACGGCTTAGTCCAAGACCAAGCACTGTTCTCATCTAAATCAACAACGTGCATGTGAAGTCAACGATGGCCTGATGCTCAAAATGTTGGATCTGGTTTCATACATTGTGGAACTGGGTAGAAATCACTTAGAATAAAAAATGCACAGTATGACATGGGCAGCTACGTGACACCTGTGCAAATAAATATCTACATGAACATCCATGAAACACCAGAGTATGGATATGTTTGACATGTAAATTCTGATTGTCTAAAAAACCACACCCCCAAAAAGACAGTCCTGAACTGTAGAAATTGGGGTTCAGATTTAGAAAGAGAGCATTTTGAAATTAACTGGGCATGAGATTTTCACAAGCTTGTCTAACCGTATACGAAAGCAGTGTTTAAAACTTGGTACTTGAGGTACAGAGCAGCAGGGAAGATTTTTTTTTTATCAATCAGACTTTGCTTGAATAAACAGAGCTCTGAGTTGCATTAAAAGTAGTTCACAGGAACATTCCAACAAGCCTTTTTAAGAGCTCATCTCCGTTTCACATATCCAAAACAAAACATGCGGCAGGGAACCAGAAGGGGGAGCGGTAATGCAAACATTTGCAAATCCTCACTGGTGAAAGGATACAACATAGGTGGTCTTTTGAAAACTGAACACTCAATTCTGCAATTTTTCTTCCTTTTTCTCTTCTCTTTTTCAGAAGTGGCTCAGTATCCCTTCCTGAAGCTGATTCTCCCAAGACAACCATAGTGAAGCATTGGCCATTTATAATTTCCAGCAGGAAAAGTAGGGTTACTCCTCACTTAGCATCCTAAAGCATGTCCAAGAACTGCTCATATATAAATAAGAAAAAAAACCAAACCTTTCCAAAGATACTTACACAGTACTGTGGTGTTACACTCATACCCTGGTAATAACCAAGATACAGCCAATGCTACTACAGGGAAGTCCAGACTGGTTTGGAGTACAGAGAAGATCAGGGATCTCCTTTTCTACAAAAGGATTTTCCCTCTTTCACAACAAACACTGGCTTTATCATCAGCTGATTACTGGGCATTGCAAATGTGGGCAGAAATTCCACATTCTCTGGCTATTTCAGGATGAACGAAGCTTGGACAAGTGCAGAGTTTAGCCAGAAACTGTCACATCCAACATCATCTGTGGCAGGTAAATATAAACTCTGAACAGTTGAGATTTTGTGATCAGCAACAACCAGAGAAGCCACAATAATTTAAAGTGGCAAAGTACAACCCCTGTTTTCAAACTGCCAATGAGATTAGCAGACACCTCACGTATGGAGCAAATATTTAAATGCCAGCATGCTGAGAATACCAGTGACTGTGTATAGGACCTTCATGTTTACAGTGAAGGAAGCCACTTCCTCAAAGTATTTTTGGTGCCGTAGCCTGGCAGTGTGTGCATTAATTAATTGGCTTATTATTCATTTAAAAGAGGAGAACATATGATTCTTACCCATGGCAGGGGTTGCTAGCGTTTGTCGGCCTACTAACTGTGCAGGTCCAAGTCCATCGAGGAAATCACTGAACTGACTGTCAGCGCCCAGCCGTACTCCAGGAAATATTAAGCTGAAGGAAAAGAAAAGCTGGTTAAGCGTAAGAACAGGATCAATTTCATTTGTCTTACAGCATTTACCTCAAAAAGTACTACTGATAGAAGGCAAGCAGCTCAGGATGTGCAACCACAAATTGTTCTGCTGCATCAGGAATGAGACCCCAAAAAAGTGTAGTGAAATTCTGCTCATGGACCCAAAGTAGTCCATAAAACAGTTCTGCAGGAGCAGTGAAGAGCCTGACAGGTGAACAAACCATGAGGGACCTTGTATGAGAAAACATAGAAAGTCTCGTGAAATTTAACAGCCTATCATTCCTCATTCTTGAATGCTTGAATTACCTTGTAATCCGGTTTTATGTCTATACATACATCCAAACCCCATCCGCATCGGTCAGAACAAACAGGGCAGGCAGATGTATACACTAAATTAATCTGATTGTTGCAGCTGTTTAATGAAGCAGTAAACTGGTAGGTAGTACTAATGTTGATTAGAGCTAAACCCAATGCCACTCTCTAGCCAAAATA